TTGCTGTAGAAAGGCCCCAGGTTTCCTCAGCTCAACGGCACTGGGCAGGTCTAGCTCTCAGGGAGGGGGTGAGCCTCCCCCCCTGCCCTGGGACGGGGGGGCACGGCTCTCCAGCACCCATCTCCCCTGTTCTTGCTTGCAGCTGCCGGAGCCCATTATGCCCTTCCGCATGTACAACGAGCTGATGGGCCTGGCCAAGGAGAGCTTACAGGGCGGCGAGGCCAAGGGCAAGAGCGGGAAAGGGGGCCCTGAGCTGGTGGACAAAGGAGCCGACACGGACAAGGTGGTGGTGAACCTGGTGCTGAAGCTGAAGGAGCTGCTGAAGGAGCTTCCCTGGGAGAACATGGCCACACTCCAGTACCTCCTGCAGCACCTGAGAAGGTGAGAAGGGCAGGTCCAGAGCCTGCGCGGGTGCTGGGGCACCTTCCCTTTCTTCCCTAGAGTGGGAAGGTAAGTGCAGCCTCCCCACTGGACCCACGCTGGCAGCCGGGACAGCCCAGCCCTTCCCAGGAGCAGGGAGGTAGATCCGTAGCTGCAGCTACTTCTCTGCCGCTCGCGAAGCTCGTGTCTGCCACGAGAGGGGACTCCCGTGCTGCCAGCCCAGCAGCTCCTCCAGCCTGGATGCGCCGGGCTGGGCAAGCCCTGCCTGCCCACCCATCCCTTCTCCCTGCTTGCTCTCACGAGTTCCTCCTCCTCCTCCCCAGGATCGTGGAGGTGGAACAGGACAACAAGATGACCTCAAGCAACCTGGGCATCGTCTTTGGGCCGACACTGATGCGCCCAAGGCCCACGGATGCCACTATTTCCTTGTCCTCGTTGGTTGATTATCCCCACCAAGCTCGCATCATCGAGGCGCTCATCATCTTCTATTCGACCATCTTTGAGAACAAGGAGACCACGGTGCTGGCCGACTCCAGCAAATACGCCACAGACAGCAAGGAGGAGGCCGCCAGCTGCTCTGACCTGGTAGGAGTCTCTGGGGCAGGGAGCACCCTTAGGGGCTGCGGAGCCTACCCAGACAGCCTGCTGGCGCTTGCAACCTGGAGCAGATCAGCTGGGGCAGACCCTCCTGCAGCCCTGACGCCCCCCACCCCTCTCCTGAACGGTGCCCCAGCCTCATGCTCTGCCCTGCAGATTGCACCAGTGCCGTTCCCCATCCCTGCTGTGCCACACGATGGTACGGGTCTGGCCAATGCTGTTGCCTGTCTCTTAGGAAACCCGCCTTGCTTCGTCACGTCCCCATGTGCATCCCCACTCCACTTGCGAGTGATTTTCTGCCCCGAAAGAACAGTCTCGGTAGGCGAGACAGGCGGGGGGTGGGAGGATGGAGCCTACACGCTTTTACACCGGGACAAGTCGTTGTTTCTCCAGTGAACAATGAGATTTCTGGAACCATTTCCCAGTGAATGAGAGTTTTCTTTTCCTCCATGGCCTCACCACTGTACCTCTTCCCCCCAGGCCAACGCAGGCTCCCAGCCCGCAGCACCTCCCGGCAGCATCACCTACCTAGAGCTGCCTTCAGAGAAGGGGAATTTGGGTTACAGCACCGACTCCTTCGCAGGTAAGTGAAAGGCGCCCGGTGGCTCCTCCCCAGCGGGCACAGGTCTCTTGGGAGGTACGAGGTATGTCACCAGTGGCAATAACACGAAGCCCTTCCCCTGTCCTGAAGACCACAAGTTTGCTGAACAAAGCTCCTGCTGATGCCGTGGTGCTGGGCACGAGCGTAGCACAGGGCTCCCTCTGTCCCGCAGAGTCTGGTGACCGCTCCGTCGACTCCGACTCCGACCTGGAGGACAGCAGGGAGCTGCTGGCTGCCGCGGACGGGGGCCCACGAACCCAGCTAACGAAACAGGAGAGCGAGACCAGCACAGACGAAGCTCAGTTCTGCGATGACGGGAGCGAGGGACAGCGGAGCCGGAGCTGCAGCATGGGCCAGTCGGACGCGGAGGGCGCCGCTCCCCACTGCCGCAGCCCCCCAGGAGAAGAGCAAAGCGATGCAGAAGAATACCCCGAGAGACGCCTTTCCGCTGCCGACACGGACTACAACACAAACCAGTCCAACAACACATCTTCGCCTGCCGCTGCCTGGCATCTGGCAGCCAGGTGCCAAGACGGCCACAAGACAGGACGCG